AGTGCAAAGTACTTCTACAAGACTGGCAGGATTCCAATCCTGTACTCACCCTGGATGGTGAGCAGATAGAAGTAGTCGAGAAGTTCGTGTATCTGGGTAGCTGCATAAGTGCTGGTGGTGGCGTGAGTGATGAGATCAATGCACGTACAGCGAAAGCCAGATTGGCTTATGCCAATCTGGGCCATCTTTAGCGCCTTCGTGACGTTAGTCTGGGTGTTAAAGTTCGGATCTGCAACGCGTCAATGAGAGCAGTTTTGCGCTATGGCTGTGAAAATCGTTGTCTCCGAAGGATTGCTGACATGCAGTGGCAACACGATGTTAGTAATGCAGATGTTCGGCATCGTGTGTTCGGGCGCAGAGAAGATTAATTAATTGGTGTCACTATCTTGAAACACTAACTTCAGTGGCTTGGATATGTCCTACGAATGTCGTCTCAGAGAATTCCACGTCGTGCATTATTTGCCGACTCTGGGACTGGTTGGAAAAGTAGGAGAGGTGGTCATTGTATGACATAGTGTGATTGTATGAAAGAAAGCTGCACAGGACTGGTTTCTGTTGTTCCTCTACGACTCCCTCAGTCAGTCAGTCAGCTACAACGTAGGACCAGGCACACATATGCATCGGTCCAAGTTGCCATACCTCATTAACACATCAAGATGGACACTGGATTCAAAAAAGTAGTTAATTCAGAGGTGGTAATATATAAAAGAAAGATTGCATATAAGGATATAGTACAGAAAGAAAGAATTAGTTCGTAGAAAGAGAGATATGAAGCGATTTTAATCTCTTAATTTAAGAGAAGACAGAGAGTGTATACACCGACGACATTGTGGTCGATTCTGAGCCATGTCACTCAGTCTCCAACCATTAGTTACGACAGTCACGCGGACTCCAACCAAGTAGTCTGCATCTACCAACATGGCTCAGAAAAGAAGTTAGTGACTTCAAGCACTGATGCCACTTTCAGTTTGGCCGCCCCTAACTTTCTTCCAACCATCCCCAACACTACTCAGCATTGTGCGTCATGGTAATCGGTGTTCAGGCATACGTAACAAGTGGTCCAGCCATCTCAGTCGATGAAGATTAACAACCTCATCAACTAATTTACCATCATTCCCTAATAACCTGCGTATAACCTCACTATTACTTACCCGGTGATCCCAGCAATATTTCTAAGGCATCTGTGGTCAAATACTAGTAGCTTACGAGTGTCTTCTACTCTTAATGGCCACGTTTTGCAGCCGTAAAGTAGAACAGAACGAACTGCCGCGCAGTATACTCGTCCTTTTATTGATAGACTCCCTAGTTGGGGTCCTAGAGATGGTGCAACGCAGTGGCTAGAGAGACGTTGTCAGATGTGGCTCAAAATAGAAGCCAGTGGCAACCCTACTGTAACCTTTTACTTTCTTCATAAAAATTGACCGTAACCTGTCTTACTGAAAGAATTCTTTCTGGTTGTACCTTTCTGTCCCCTTCATCGTTATTATTATTTCAATAACACACTGATTTGTGGTCGTTATTATTTTTTTTACAGGCAGCTTGCTTTATTTCTTCCCATTCTCATTATTATTGTGTGGCGCATATGTATCTGGTGCCCCCTTTTACCAATATTTATGTGTTCAAATAAAATATATTAGAAATGTTATCTAGCGTAGCTGGTCTTTAAAATGTTTTGATTTCAGCTATTCAACATTAAATTTTATAGTAAACAATGTTTAGAATCGGGATTATTAGTATCGTATACTGGAATTTCAGTGATAATTTTCAGTCACTCACAAGCACCGTAGAACTTGATAAATATGTGTGTATTGGCTCAAGTTGTCCCATCATATCGCCACAGTGAGACAAAATTATTAAAACAAACGCTAGAATAGTAGAATTAGTAACGGTACCATTGGTGGTAGAAAACACTAGGCATAGACAATATGAAATAAATTCGCGGAATAAGTGGTAGACAATTTTAAAACTGAAGATATGACACACGATAAATAGTGAGTGCATCTGTTGTATTGGGACAAATCCTGAGGCATCGGAAACCATTAATTATGGTAACTGATAGGATCCCAACACGAGTAAGACCAACAGTCTATGAAATTATAAATATCGCATTTTTATTTGGCCACCCTTTAGCTTCCTTTGAACTAGAATCTACAACTAGAATTACCTGTTGAGGTAAGCGGTTGTTGGGCATAAGCAACTTAATTCCCAATCACCTCAGTCGGTGAAGATTAACAATCTTATCATCAGATTTACTAGTTTGTTTTATTAACCAATATTAGAAATTTATACAATGTACTGGACATTTAATTCCACATTATTATGTATTTTATTTTATTTGAACACATATATATTGGTACAGGAGTGCGCCAAATATATATGCGCCACACAATTTCAGTTCATTAATTGCGTGTGGGCTGCGATACTGCCCGGGTGCCCAGACCGAAGCAGGTGGTTATCTTAGGGGGCCACACCCCGAGCCTTTGACCTAAAGGTCTAACCCACAAGGCAGTGGAGCATCGTAAGGAGATGCAGTCCCATGGTAGCCGGTGACCGAAAATTGGTTCATACGCCATTTGTTCCCGCAGGATACTTGTGCCCATGTGCACCATAGATTTGGAATCCGGTTAAAGCGCCGGACATTCGCTTTTCGTCCTCTCATTTTCGTAAACAACACCCCCGCCACGAGAAGGCAGTGAGTAGGACTTCCCTGGCAAAGGCTGTATACGCGCGGCCGTGTGAGAGTATTTCGAGAGGGAGGGCGAACCCACCCCGCTCTCGGCCATACCAGGGCATTTGGGGGCGCATTATTATTGTTAAATATCTGTGTGTTTTACATTCGATTTCGTGTATATTTTGCCTATTGTTTAAAAAGAGGAATATTAGACATCTTAGTTACGTCGAGCGGTAGCAAAAGTTTATCGAATACTTTGTTGTAACCTTCCGTTTTCAGAATTGTTTATTCATTTGTTAACTAACAGTCAACTCATAGACTTATGCTTTCGCTAAATATTTTGTAAACTAATACTATCTTTGAATTCCTATAATCTATCATCTAGTTGGTGTCGATCATGTGAACAGTTAAAATGCTTCGGTAATTCTGTCAAATCGGTTGGTTTTGCAATATTCATTATAGTGAAAACGAGTAGCATTTGTAATATATATTTAATGTTTTTGTTACACATTCTGCCAATAATTTTCTTATTACCCCATTTTCAATAGTCCATGACTCTAAATTCTCTTATTTATTTACAGAAGAGGATATGTTGTTCTAGAACAAGCTGGTCTCTCTGGTGGTGTATACAATGTAATTGTTTCCACTTATCGACCTGGCCAAGAAGGACCATTTATCCTCTCCATTAAATCTATAAGTAATTTTACAATAACCCCCATATGATGAAGATAATGAAGAACATTATCATGTCTCATTGTCATCATCAATCTGTTTTCTTTGAAGTTTTACTTCCGGAAATTCAGAAAGAGTATTTTTGATGCGCTTTTTGTTTTTTATTTACAAAAAAGTACTAAAATGAATATTCAGTTTATAAAATATTCAATCTTCAACTTCTGTTTAGTCAAAATGAAATAGTTCAAACTTGTTGCTTTTCAGTAGTCACTTAAAAACCTGAAACCTCACGCAAATAATATGAGTCGATTCCAGTTACTACATCATACCAGGATGGAATTAAATTAACAAGATGAATTACTGACGTTGAAGTGGGAAAAACTGTACGTAAAAAATATGGTCTCATTGTGAATCCAACATTATACATATATCGTCTAAATAGAATTGTGGAGGTTGCTGAATTTTATTGAAATCACAAACCTACCAACGTCTCACAACTATTAAAAGGCTAGGAGCACTGAACGACTGTTTTTTCCTAGGATGGGGCTTCCCAGCCTTGCGTGTCCATGACTTCACAACGGGAATCAAGTCCGGGACCCTCGTGCGCAGATGTTTACCTCTAGACCACAAAGTCGTGATCAAATGGTGTTCAAGTTTAACTTCAATAAACCCACAATATTGTGCGACCAAACACCATTGGGTTCCAGACCAACTGTCTAGAGGTAAGGCATCCGCGTGCGAGAACATTTCCAGCTGTCGATACACTGCTGACGTGCCTCACACTAGAACGGAAAGTCCTAGATTTTCAGTGCCAGTCTAACCTGGCTTGGTTCGTGATCTCAATAGAGAAGATTAATTCGTTTTTCGGCCCACTGACAGGTAGTTCTCATTGTGTTAATCAGACCAATAACGTCCACCATGACCAGTAGCACAGTGACTGCCAATAACTGTAGGAAATTATTAAACTTATTTCTCTCCTCAGCTCCTGTATCTGTTATGACCAATCATAACACGAAAACTAACCTAGAATATATTTTATTATGACCCACAAAATTATATAGAGATTTTTCTGATAAGATACAGGATCTGTGCGGGATCATTACAAAATAAGCTTAACTTGAAACATTACGAGTCTTAGTATTTTGCTCACGTAGGACAAATTAAATAGAACGAATAAAACAGCGAAAACGACTGAAGTGGCTAGCTAAATACCATGTTAGATTATAGTCTATTCCACAATTAGATGATAAATTTAAGGATGATTAACACAACAATGATAGTCGACAACTGTTTGAGACGGGTAGGTTTTATGAGGACGCAGCTTGAAACTAATCTCAATAACGTAAATTTATTTTAACAAATAAGGACTCATTTGTTTTATTCCACGCAGCCATGCAGTGTCACAGCCTACACACAAATCAAGCGACTGTGTGGCGCATATGTATCCGATGCCCCTTCCAAACAATATTTGTGTTCAAATAACATTATTGTCTCTTGTGATTTACTAAATAATTCATCTGAATACTTGAAGGTAGCAAACTTGTTTATTTCAAAGTATTTCCATTTTAGTATACAATTTTCCATTGTTATTTTATAGTTGCACTAATTATTTAAATATAGCCGCGTTTCCTAAAATTAACGAAGTATTTGGAAGTGTCCTGAGAACACATCGACTTAACACTTTTGCTGATATTTTTAAGGGAAACTATAATTAAAGAACCAAAATGAAACAATTTATCCCTTTTTAAAAGAAGTTTTAATTCTAATAAATATGTATTCTGGAATATGCTAAATGTCTAGACCACTGTGTTATAGTATCAACTAGTTGACTGGAAGAATGTCTGAGGAACTGCGTGCTTCCTTATTTTTAAGTCTTCGGGTCGCTTTGAAATTAAACAATGTTTCATTCATCTGAATCCAAGAATTTACGATTATAAAATGGAATCCGAGTGCATATCGTTTTCCAATCGGTGATATAAACGAAAAGCATACCAGCGGTAATGGTCCAAGCTGTAGCTGGTCGTCGCCTGGTAATGTAAGTACTTGATCAATATTGTGCTTACCATTTCTTCGCAAAACTCATTAAGGGAATAACTGCGTCCCTTGAGTATTTTATATTTGCCAAAAGTGAATCCATTTCCAATGTATCCCAAGAAAGGTATCTGATGTATTACCTAGAAATAAAGAACATTAAAGGTGTGATAGCAAAAACTAAGAGTGGAATATTTTTTAGTACCTTTATCTGTAAAAAAGGAACAAAACAAAACTAACAGTAGGTATTTCATTTGCAAAATACTCATCAATTGTTTCGGACTTTTTGTTTCTTTTTTCATACTAATCACTCTGTTCTCGTTCTCCTCTTTTCGATCTTCCCAGCCTTTTGCCGCCAGGCATTCTACTTTTGATTAGTGACACCACATATATATCGACATCAGTAGCACACATCGGAGTATGACTGAATTTAAGAAACATTTTAAAACTTATGCAGGAAAAGCTAAGATATTGAGAGGGCTTAATATCTATTCATATCTGACTGTACGAACCAACACTGAGGTTTCCTATTTTTGCTCGTCTCACAGGAACTACAATTAATAAAGGAATCAACCAAGTTCCACATATAACCACTTAGACTTCGGCGCGAAATTCACTCGTCTATATGGATTAACATTATTCTAGCATAATGGCTGTTATCAATTCATGAAGATCGAATTCGAATTTCTAACCGTGATTCATAATGCTGACTTTTCACATTAACTTATGATCTCATTTTAAACACGGAATGCCCAAATGCCACCCATAAATTATATCGTCACTTCTAACCTTAAAGTCATCAATGAGAGCAAAACTTCGCACTAACAAAGAAGACGTGAAACGAACACCTTCCAGCTATTAAAACATGAACCCATTTGTGAATATTTCTTTAAAACAGTATAATTTTCTAAATGCAGTATACTGTGTCTAAATGCTTTTTGTGATGGAAGTATAGGAGAACATAGGTATTTGGGCTAACAAATAATCGTGCATAAACGGAGAAGAAAGGTAAACAAGTCGGTGTGTATTTAGGCGACAAGTAGACAATTAGGCGTACATTCAGAGACATTTCAAACCCACTGTGACAAAAGGAAATGTCTTATTGGGTTCTCGTTGGAACTCAACGTTGAATCCAAGCACGTTCTTATGCTATTCTTGACGAGTTATCTCGTATGTTTGTGGTAAGAATTATATGACGTTGGGAAGTTCCTTGCCAAAATGCTGTGACCTGCGCGGATTATAGGTTATTACGCAATAACACTTATCTATCTACTCGACCGACCAGAAATCGACACATATTACACTGACTAGTAGTGCTTAAAATTATTAAGACGACTAAATTGAACAAGGTGATATTCCACATTAAACGGCCCGGATTTACACTTACGTGAAACAAAAAATCTGAGCTCCAACCTGACCTTGGAGTTATGTCAAGATAACTTAGGTTATCAACAAAGCTCAATGTATTCAAAGAATTTCCAGGCACTTTTCCATCATTTCCTGAGTGAGTGATGAATATATTTTGACGTAATTTTTTTCCGAAATAATTATAAAAGGTATTCTGAAAGCTTTTATCAGGAAGCAATTCTTCAGTAAGAAGGATAATATATCTATATACCTGTGTTAATGTTTGCAGCTTGTTTTTCAGTGAAGGTTCGTCTTCTCTTTAAAAATGCTTTCCGATGGCGCTGATACCACGTTCAACAAAAACGTTCTAGATACTGACTACTCGATGAGAGAAGCGAAGACTCATTCTAAATTTATGAGATCTTGGTAATTGAACCTTCCCAGAATGGACTCAGAAGTGACTTTTTATAAATGGAAAAAACGATAAGATATTAAGGATAAAATCGTTATTAAAGATGTGAGGTTACAATATAAGGTCACCACGCGTTCTCTGATATGATCAAGGGGAAAATTTCTAGAGATTCAAGCGCTCGGATGTTTGGAAAGTCCCTTCACTAGTTGTGCTCATACACGCTGAACTTATTCGATTGAGTCAATATGCTTCATAAGACGTAGAATGGATGCTTGAACACAGTAGTCTAGGTTAAGCCTTACGTAAATGGGATATAAAAACGCTTAGCCGCGCCCTTTGTGGACAAAAATCGTAATTTTCCTCGTTGAGCTAATTTTAATGCTTTGATCGTTTGTTATGCATCATGAATATTCTGTTCTCTTTAATTGAATTTATTTCCGTCAGTAATCGTCAAGAGTATCGTTTTACTGGAAGTATTTTCTCGTCAGCAACTTTTGAGTAGATTGGTTCTTTCTGTATTTGTTTGGACTTTTGCTTTTAAAAATTTAGTTTTTCACTTTTTCTGGCCACTTTCCCCTTGGGTATTGTTTGCGCCTAGTTTCTTTTTAAAAAACCCTGACGATCAACTAACCGGTGTAAAAAAAGCAATAGTCAATGTCCATGCTGTTGATGCACTGTGAAGTGTGGCATACAGTGTAATGAGTGCAAATTATGGTACCACGAAATTTCTACGAACAAGACCCCTGTGGCTTTCAAACGGCCTGTTAAAATAGTTGCTTGTGATTGTGTTACAAACGCTGTTCGAACGCGTAGCCACTAAAATGGGGGGTGCTGCTTGAAGGAATATTACCAAGCGTAATCGAGGCACATCAAACAGTACTCGTTCGGCCGATACGCAAATTCATGTGAAGTTACACTGAATAAGTTCTGAGTCGATTGAATTACATGGGCCAACTTATAAAGAGTTTTGTTGAAAATAAATGCCTTAGTATTGAAGTTTCTTTTATCCACCGCTCTCCAAATGTCAACGAGCAGGAAACGCCTAGAAAACCTCAATGTATTGTTAGGTCCGTTTCTAACAGGAACAACAACCTAGCTGCACAATCTGTCACAATATTCATCCAGGATCCCACACTGTGTGCAGATATAAGAACCGACCTAATGTTGCTAAAGGAAAGACAGTCCTTCAACCAATAGTTAAGAACGTGAAGGTTGACCATGGTGAAAGGTCAGTTGTCTTTCATATAGTCAAGGAGAGTGAAAGCTCAGAACTCGTGCTGAACATGACACTAGGGTGATTAATGAGCTACCTAACCAGCTAATGCTTCAGGATAATCTCTAGTGAGCTGAATTTAGTTGCTTTTACAGAGACTCGGTTGATTCTGTCTGTACATAGTGGGAAACTTGTTTTTGGAAGTTTCACATTAGTAAGAACTAACAGGATCCAGAAGTACGAGGGAGGAGTAGTTCTGTTCGTTAGAAAAACTATCCTGTTTGCCGTTTTCGTTAACAGATGGAATTGAAGTGTGACGTACGAATAAGCTAGTTGTCACTTGAAATGCAAAGGACAAGAGCTGCTGATTGATTCCGTCTGCGGCAGTCCAACATGTGAGGTGAATGAGGTTTTGCTAAGAGGTGTAGCGTGGCGTCGAGTTGAGGTCAACTATGAACACCGCTACAAAGAAACACGTGCCAGATAAATCAGAAGGCGAGGGTTGGACGTAACCAAATAGATCCATAAAATCCCCGAGAAGCCAAATACCAGAAGACAGTTAATGGACCAAGTCGACGTTTATTTGCTGGCGATCTCGTGGCATCGAAAGGATACCGAGATCGTGCCAGGATACAACCTTGGTTACAGAAGGTAACCGAATTCGCGCGAAGTTACAATCAAAGTGTGTGTAAGTGAATGGAAGCCCAAAATAGCTGTCATTAGCACAGTCAAACAAAAATCACGTTAAAACAAACACTGGTACAGTTGGTTATAATAATAATTGTTTTTATTAAACCAGTCGTGTTTTCGTGATAAACGTGAGTCACTACAGAGGTTTCAACAATTATTCATCAAGTGATCAGTGTTTGATCTTAGAACAATTCAATGCACCTACGGTAGACTGGAAAAATCTGAAGACTGAATTGTCATAAAACTCTTTCAAATGAAAACCAATTAATGAGGTAATCACATGTGCTCCAGAGCAACATGTGAAAGAGGCAACTGGCTACAATCCATAGCTCAAATCATAATAAATATATCTCATATTGGCGAAATATGAGTATGACGTCACGAAACTTCATTATATGCCATCCCTATGTAATCATGCGGTTCTAGTCTTTTATTTCCATATATTTATCAATGACGACCATATGTTAGCCCAAACAGGACCAAACGAGTGGAAAGCGAATGTACAGGATATTATATGCTCACCATCCTCGATAGAACAGTGAATTGAACCAAAGTCTCCCTACCAGTGGAGGATAATTACGATAAATCTCAGGTATTTTCAAATTACTTCAGCAATGTATATACCGCAAAGACGCCCTCCCCACCAGTTCTAACAACCATCCACACACACTCTATACACTGTGATTAGTAAGGTACTTGACGTCTTGATATATGGAAATCCATGGGAATTGATGAAATGCATACTGAGTTACTAGAGGAATAAGCGAATTTCGTCGAGAATCTCTTAAGAGTATTTTCTAACCTATCTGTAACCCAGGGTTGATTGACAAGAAAATAAACGAATGCTTTTGTAAGTCTTATTATCCAAGCGACCAGGAGATATAAACCTGACAACTTTCGACTCGTTAGCCTAACTAGAATGGTTTTTGACATTTTCGAGAGGAATTGTTCCAAGTATCTCGACAAGAACTGGGCTCTTCCTGAGAATTAGCACGCATTTAGAGCAGATTTTTCATGTCTCATAAACTCATGAGTAGTCCTTCAATGTCAGTGCACTCTTAGATATAAAAAGCCACCTGTAGATGAAGCCTGCATTGAATTCAGCAAGGCTCTTGACAAAGATCCTCTCGACTGGTTGTGATATAAGTTAAGGGCTATTGTGTTTGGAGGCAGTTTAATGATGTAGACAAAAGAAATACTAGCTGGGTGTCAATAAAGAGTATAGGTGAACTCCAAGTTGTCTAGCTGGGAAACTGTGATTAGTGGAGTGTTGCAGGGGTACATTTTCGAGGTCATTGTTGATCTTCATGTATATAAATAACCTTCCTATCATCAAGGGATTTGTTATATGCTGATGATGTCAAGATGTGGGGAGCGATATAAAGTTGAGTTTATAGTTTGGAGCTTCAAAATTAACTGAAAATTATTCCAATGGTCTAAAATTTAGTAGTTGTTGACAAATGCTTCAAAATGCATTATGATGCACATTGTTAAACAAGGTACAGATACATACACGGTGAATAACAGTAAGCTAGCTGTTGTTCAGATATGCAATAGCCTAGCAGTCATCGTTAGCCAATACTCAAAGACCACTTCGCACTGCCGTGTGAGAAGAACTTTGGGAGAGCAAGACTCCAATTTCAACGCACAAACCTTCCAAAATTGAGTATATGGTAATCGAAAATATAATACCAACCCAAATTAAGGAAGTCAGTAATAAATTTAGTTGTAATGTTTTGAAATCATCAAATTGTTTACAGCTAACTCAAGCTGTTGCAAGATCACGTTCACGTACATAAATTTGTAAATTACGTGGTCGAAAATGCAGACTGCTTAACCGTTAAGCGACGTCCTTCCAGTCACTCTTCTTCGATTTGCAGCAGAACCAAATGATAGGTGGAGAATTGCTGTTTTTTACCTTTGAAGATTTTAGAATTCACATTACGTTGTATCAAGCTAAGCTATTACCTCAGTTTGCGGCTTAGAGTAAAAATCCGAGGGACCAAAATGTTTCTACCTTCAAAATGCAAAGGTAGTTATTTTGCACAGAAATGTCAAAAATGGAATAAATGACGCTCGATCGAGTTTGCCCAACATTTCTAGGTGTTATTATTTCGGGCAAAAGCTGTTAGGTTCTCAAGGATGCAAAATTTGTGACCGAAACCTTAGTATAAATAATATGTAAAATCGTCAGACGATAAAGACTTCATAATGGGATACATGTAACTTGGTTGTTGTTTAAAAGTGCAGTGACACTAAGTTAGATATAGTGTGAAAATCAGAAAATAATAATGGACTAAATAGTAAATAACCAGAAAAAGGTGGAGTGATTAATCATCATTTGGTTTTCTGGTTGAAGGGGGTTTGTATATTTAACTATAAAGTGTGTGCAAAACATTTTCAGCATCAAAACTGTGTAAGGTGTGTGATGAGATAAATTGCCAAGAGCGTCTTAAGCAATGTTAAAGGACTAAGCTAAGAGAAATCAGAAACATGTACTTTCAGACAAGCCTAAAGGTCATTGCCCTGACTTGAACATAGATACTCCCGAAATCAAGGATGAAGATTCGAGCAAGAAAAGCATGACACCTTTCAATCATGGTAGAGTGCACAAAACGGAAGGTAGGGTGGCAAAACACATTTACTGCCACTTTGAAGCTATAACACCACCCTGCACGGAATTAACCTAGGAGACAGAAACATTCAAGTGGTGCTTCAATGTGAGTGACACGAAGTTCTTGGTTAAAGAAAACTATACCGATTTCTCACAGGCTCTAAGGTCTCAAAAGATGAAATAATACATACAATACTAATGTTATCATATCTGGATTCTGACCAAACACTTATATCTGAAAACTTCAAAACTCCATCCACAAATCTCAGCAAACACAATACAATCCTTACACGACGGTTCCCAAAGTGGCAACCTAGAGCAATCATTTCACGTCTCCCACAACACTTCAAAAGGTTCACAAAGTCGTAGACGCCCCTCTCTCTCAAAGGGATATGTCTTAGATCAAGTACAGAGACGAGCAGCCAAGTGTGCGGTAGGTCTGTAGAATTATAGTCTACTATGGTATTAGTACTGCTCTGATAATAGACCTAGTCCCAAAATTGTAGATTGGTCATGATATAACTACCTAATCTATAAGATCTTATGTGGAAGTCACGTCATCGTCTACCCTGATTCATCACGTTGTAACAATCATGAACACATGATGAGGAACACATTTAGGCTGGAGGTATTTAATATGGATAACGATAATGTAACACAAGCAAGACCGCGCCTGCAAGGGCAAGCCATGCCATCCGATAAACTCGAATTAATTCAACTCATTTTTCCCGCCTTCTACATCATTGAGTTTTTCTCAGCGTTAAATGTTGAACATCTATTTCCTCAATTGTCTGGTGTTCAGCTTTGATGATTGTTTGGTTAGGACCCAATGCCTAAACGGTTCAAAAACATAAATCTTACGAGGACAGACTCCAGACCTGGAGTCATCCTTCTTTGGCAACAGGAAAATGGGACGTGGTTTGACAATAGCATACAACATATTAAGTACTCCAAGCCATCCAAACAAGAGCATGTTATCGAAACACCATGTCCACGCCTCTGGCTGCAACACTCAACCGGTTACACATCAAAGAGTCAACGTCCAGGTACACTCCAACTCATTTCCACCAATATTTGCTACCACTTGAGATGCTCTCCCAACATAAATGACCACAGCTTCTGAGTGGATAGCTTCAAGACGAGACTCAAACAACAAGCACTCGCCCACGGATTACCATTTCCTGCCTAGATCAGTTACGCCCGATGCATGTCTCATAATTTACCACTGTTATCATTGACACATATCAGTCACCATTTCCTGCATAGTGAAGATGCCACAGGTCTTCGGAGTTTGACAACGCCTTGACCAGTAATACCTTCTGCTACGAATCGTGCCTATCTAGTGAAATCAAATTACAGAAGCGAGGACGTTCGAAGATACATTTGAGAGGCTGTCAGTATATCGAGAATCGACTGATCTTATCTGGCAGGCGATTGTAGGGGATGTTGAGCACGGCGTTCCCACTAGTGATCTAGTGTGAAAGCATGACCGAGCGCCTTCAGCTAGGTGAGTCTATTAAGACTAATGTGGTCAGCATAAAATGTCGACGACTTACAGAGCTATTTATTTTAGGGATTTATTTGCCGCTACAATCCCTCACATATCTTAGATTTTTAGGGTGCGTTCTTCCAACAACGTCTTCGTTACTGATCAATTAACCTATTTACCAATTTGTTTGCTGAGATAATTGTATTCTCTTAACATTCGAATTTTTATTCATTAATTTTCACATTGCAATCAACCAACCTAACTGGTAATGTGATAACTACATGTTCGAGAAACCCTAATAACCTGAGATAGACTCCCACTGAACAAAAAGATATGCAAATACACAAATGACTAGTAGCGTGGTTAGAATTGATGCAGTCAAATGGTTATATTACCATCGATTGGACATACCCAGATACCTGGAACCGTGTAGAAAAAACAAGGAGGGAGCGCAAAGGAATCATTTGGTTTATGCAAACACTTAAGTTGGCATATCTGATAAACCAATAGAAAATCACATTTAATCAGTGCTGGGAATCACTTAACGCGACAGAAGCTACTTAGTTTTCGAGCCATATCATACTACAACAAATACAATTTGAGTTGGCAAAATTGACTATGACGCTACGTCACTGGAATTGGATAGCCTGAGGATTTGCGTCCTTTCGTGATACCCATGCTAAATGTCGGCCTATAGCAGTTTACTCTCAGGCCATGCCTATCGTAAACTCCCCGGTGAAGAGAGGGTCGATCATTGCTCGGCTTCTCATGTAACTTATGGTGGTCTAAATCTGCATGGTGTGATAGAGGTTTGATCCCCTTATCGCTTATTTAAAAGCTAACAAACTTTCAAGTAGTATTTATTGCTTTACCCAACGAAGCTAGTTCTGCTCGTGCACCAAAACCATTTCACGGTTCAGATAAAAAGAGATACATCCTAAAGCTGCCATTGGGAACAATTCGAAACATTGATCAGAAATCCAACCAGGGAAATATTTCACTTCATATTGTTTGTAAGGATATCCGAGAACTAGTGTTCGCCTTCCCGGTAGTTACAATATATGTTCTGACTTTATCTATTAGGACTGTGGGCGAAGTCTTGGGTTCTGTGAAAACCTTAAAGCAAACGCGTTTCCTGCTATTTCCAAAAAAACACTGTTCGCTTATTTATATGGAGCAAAGTGCATCGCAAATAGTGTTTTTGCAATAGATGGTTGGGATGTGTATAATCCAGAGGAGGAATATCACCGCCAGAACATTTTTACTAACGGCTGGAGAATTACAAAAGTAAGTCTTAGTATTTATCCATAATCTTCGTGTGAAAAGGAAAACATACCGTATACTGTGGAAAAAGTACTCAAAATCTATAAACGGATCACTACTATTTGACTAACTAGAATTGGTGCTTAATTCTACAGTTATTTCACTACGTTGTATCAAACTATTTTTTTTATTATCATAACCATACCATAATTCTTGAAATTCCCTACGTTTTCACTATTTTTTTGTTGATCAGATTGTATACGTTTCCAGCTCGACTGTATTTCTTAGACCTGGTTAAGATCTGTGCATTAGCCATAGTTACTACCTAAGGACACTAGATGTGATTATGACCAATTCTCTGTCAATATTGGTCTGTAAAACAATTTTATGCCTTTTATTCCTCTATTTCGTTCTGTCTTCCCTATATCATAAGCACTACTGTTATATTGACTTATTTGCTGTATATCATGGATTTCTTCTCGATGTGTAAATGTGGTGGACTAGGTTATGTCGATGCATATTTGTACCAGGTCTTATCTTGTTTTTGACTAATTGATGTTTACTCAGCATCTAGCATGTATTAACACAACCCCCAAAACGTATTAATTTATACAACCACACAGAAAAAAATAACGACGACTATGAAGTAGATCCGTGAGTAAAAGTGGTAGGAGTATAAATAAGTAAATAGCAGAATGTCTGCATTTCACGTGTAGGGTACTCTTTTTACATAGTGATTTGTTTAGAGTGGTTGAAACTATCGATACTTCACTTTAAAATTCGTTATCGAAAAGCTACATTTATACATTATTTTGTACTTGCTTGGAAGGTTTCCGTCATCAAATTTGAAAACGCCTGCTTATCGTTATCACGCAACCACTTTGTGTAGATTTGACTTATAAATACAACCTTCTTAAATTGCTTACTGTTTCTCATTCCTAAATTACAGATTAACATGGATTATAGGTTGTGTGATACTTACCCAGCTATTTTAGCTGTTCCATGGGAAGTAACTGATGAACTTCTAGTCGCATGTGCACCCCATCGCAGCCGCGGTCGGATACCTGTTTTAAGTTGGTTGCATCCTGAAAGCAAAGCAAGTCTAACCAGAGCAAGTCAACCTCTTGTTGGTGTCCAGGGCCGCCGCAGCTCCGACGATAAAGAACTTGTTCGTCAGCTCAGGATAGCCAATGCTAATGCAAATAACCTTTTGATATTTGATGCTCGTCCACAGGTAAGATGCCTGACTCGTGTTTATGTGTTAGTCCACATTAGTTTTTTCATTTGGGTCACCATTTCACAAAAAAGTTACTTGTAGTTAGCGAACAGTGAACGGAAATTTACACATTCTCAGTTGGATGAACAATGTTTTTCAGAATCTTCTAGTATCTACTAGACAGCTATTGTAGCTCTGACCTATCGGCGTATCCGAATTCGGGCCTGATCACTACATGTACAGTCAGGACTACATTACGCTAACATGAGTTGGCTAATGATTAATTACACCGTCGTAAAAATAGAGTATTACGTTTTACGACCCGTTAAATATCATGTGACAAAATCACCAATGAGAACACTGGCTTGTATGACCTTGTATCTGTGTTAAACCGATGATGTGTTAACTAGCACGAGCAGCCTAGAATCAACACTGAGTCTTTATTGGTCTTGTGTATAATAACTTTTTACCTAGCCCAGCTCGTTCAGTTCGGAACACAAATATCAGCCTTCTGTGTATGAATCGTATATTCCAGGCATACGTGGTTTATGTACAAGCAGATCAGACAGCATCACATCATGAAATGAAAAATAATAATTATAAAGGACCAGACCAAAAGTGACTGAGTATGGAATACTGTACCTAATAATTTAGGAATAAGTTAAGTCGGTCAGTCATTTACAACGTAGGACCAGACACATGCATGCATCGGTGCAAGTTGCCACACCTTAATAGCACAACAAGATGAACACCGGGTTCATAGAAGTAGTTACTTTAATGGTAGTAATATACAAAAACGAGTGAATATAAGGATATGTTACTGGGAGTTAGTTCGTAGAAAGGAAGGTGTAAAGTAGTTTTAATTTCACAGTTTAAGACTAGACAAAGTATATACACCTACGCCATTGTGATCGATTCTGAGCCATGTCACTCAGTCTCCAACCATTAGTTACGACAGTCACGCGGACTCCAACCAAGTAGTCCGCATCTACCAACATGGCTCAGAAAAGAAGTTAGTGACTTCAAGCACTGATGCCACTTTCAGTTTGGCCGCCCCTAACTTTCTTCCAACCATCCCCAACACTACTCAGCATTGTGCGTCATGGTAATCGGTGTTCAGGCATACGCAACAAGTGGTCCAACTATCTCAGTCGATGAAGATTCACAGCCTTATCAACTGATTTACCATCATTACCTAATAACCTGCGTATAACCTCACTATTACTTACCCGGTGATCCCAGCAATATTTCTAAGGCATCTGTGGTCAAATACTAGTAGCTTACGAGTGTCTTCTACTCTTAATGGCCACGTTTTGCAGCCGTAAAGTAGAACAGAACGAACTGCCGCGCAGTATACTCGTCCCCTAATTGGTAGACGGATATCTCGCCTTCGCTATAGGTGACGTAAGTCCGCAAAAGCCAAACGAGCTTTTCGAATCCGTGATGAGAGTTCGTCAGACACCAACCCATTAGGGCCGATCAGACTTCCAAGATAAGTGAAGTTGTCAACGCGTTCGACTACTTCACTTCCTACCCTTAGTTCAGTCGTTGACAACAATTCACATTTGGAGGGGTAGAAACGCATCCCAGACATCCTGGCATTGTTGCCCAATACTACCAAAAGACTGCATTTTATCAACGTCTTCACCAAACAGGACTATGTCATCTGAATATTCTAAGTCGACAAATGGGCGTCCCGGTGGATCAATTCCTGAAAATTCGGACGATGAGAACGTTATTTCAAGCACTAGGTCTATGATGAATTAAACAGAAATAGAGATAGTAAATAGCCTTGTCGGATATCACTCGAGGTTCCAAATCAGATGACAGTTCGCCATAAGCTCTGACTCGACTAGTGTTAGAGTAAAAATCCTTCACAATGTCTTATGTACTTCTGAGGTACGTTTTTTAATGACAGACACTGCTACAGAACCTCTCGCTCTACAGAGTCAAATGCTGCCTTTAAGTCAAGAAAAACCATCATTGTCGGACGCTGATAAGCATACCTGTGTTCTAAGGCCTGACAAATTGCAAATGTGTGGTCGGTGCAGCTACGACCAGGTCTGAAGCCAGCCTGAATTTTTCATGTTTGCAGTCCACGAGTCTTTGCTAGGCGTCCGATAATTATTGAGGCTTGAATTTCAGACGATATACTAGTCAAACTATTACCACCATGGTTATCACAGGATGATTTTGATCCTTATATAGTGGAACAATCAGCGATTACTACCAGCCATATGGGATGACATCCAGTTCCCAGATTTTAGCTAAAATATTACTCAACCTAATGGAGGGTGTGTCTCGTTGGTTCCCTGTTTGGGCTATGTGTGGTCAAGTGAGTGACCACACTAGAATTCTGTATGCGTGTTTCTAGACATGGCATACATAAATGGTGCGGAATTCTAGAGTCTCAGCCAAGGAAGCCTGCTGGTCAATTTGACATAGTATTCGTACGTTGAAGGCTCCACTGTGTAGTTCGAAACGAGGTTTTAAAATCTAGGACAGTACTTCGCGCAATGAAATCGTTGGCCATGGTGACACTTAAGGAGAAAGTTTAGAGTTATCACTTCCGGGCTGCTCGCACCGTGGAAGGGTTCTTCTAGAGGTACGTGAAAAGGAAATTGAGTTAGAGTTAATCTTATTGATCTGAGAGCGTGACCACAATGCCCAAGGGACAACTGCTTGAGGCCGGTCACACACTTTTTTGTAGGTAGTTTTAGTGTTAGCTTCGCACTTGTTGTGACCTCACCCCACGAGCATCCGTGGGGTAAGGCGAGGTATGCATCCTTAGGGTCGACCTTTTCTAACCCCACCTTTTCTTTTGTGGAAAGGTTGCATCGCTTTCATGCTGGTTGTCTGACGGAGACACCTTAATGCTGTCACACTCCCCTACAGTCAGCAGTACGACTTCACTCTCGAACCTTGAGTTTGCTGCTTTTTGTCATATCGCTCTTCAACCGACCTACCTGGCATTGTAGGGCCGATTGTTCCAGCCAGTATAGCCCGATTGGTTCATCATGACAGGTAAGCCCGACCACTACGTTAGTGACAGTAACTGTCGGGAATAAGTTAGGAATGGTCAATCATATAGCAGTAACCAATAGGTCAAATAAAAGGGATATGAATATATATAGTCTAGTTATCTAATAATTACCCAATAATAATAGCCCATAAATAATTCCTAGTAGTTACCACTGCTTTATTCTTTGTTCGGATATAACAAAAATATATCTCGATGTGGGACCACTCAGAGTCACACTAAGTCCTTTCTAGCCAACTAGTGCAATGGAATGATTAGTTGAATCTAGAAGAGATAGTCTTGTTCCTCTGATTTTGTGTTCTTCCTCTCAAGGATTGCTTTATTTTGAGTAACTATTAGTTATAAATACATTGAAAATTCCCATCGCCCTATTAAAACATAATCTACCTTAAAAGACTACAATATTTCAGTCGCATTAAAAATATTTATATTTTTAATTTCTTAAACTAATTCCAGGGAATCTATGATTTTTAATACTCAATATTCTAGGTTAACGCAATAGCTAATATGGGCGTTGGCGGAGGTGTTGAAAGTCCAGCTTATTATGAAAACGTTCAATATATGTTCTTGAATATACAAAATATACATGCGATGCGAGCTGCATTGACAAAAGTTTTCGAGGCCTGTTTTCCATTACCAGACGATACACGATGGTTTAAGCAACTGGCTGACTCTAAATGGCTTTATCATATTAAACAAATTATTTTCGCCGCAACTAGTGTAGCCGATAAAGTAAGCTAGATTTGTAATCTGCATTATAGGCTTGATGCTATGTTTAGTGGTATAAATTATTGACACTGACAATCTTTAAATTCAATCGTGACTTAGTATTTTATTTTTCCGTTAAAATCTGATTCTAGATTGAAAATCATAAGACATCTGTGTTAATACATTGCTCAGACGGTTGGGACCGGACAACTCAAGTTACATCTTTAGCAATGTTGATGCTAGATCCGTACTACCGTACAATACGCGGATTTGAAGTGTTAGTCGAGAAAGAGTGGTGTTCTTTTGGTCACAAATTCGCACAGCGCACAGGTGGACCTACCGATGGTGGGATTTATTTGCCTCCCAACTCGTCAAGTTCTGTTATTAATGAAACTGGTGGAGGACGGCCATCAAGTCCTGAGGAGCGTTCCCCAGTATTTTTACAGTTCATCGATTGTGTGTGGCAGACGATGCAGCAATTTCCTCATTCATTTGAATTCAACGAACGATTTCTCATAACAATAATGGATGAGCTATATTCTGCGCGATTCGGAACATTTCTTTTCAATTCAGAAATGCAAGGACGCGACCATGGTGTACGTGAAAGGACTATCTCATTGTGGGCATATATCAATGCAGATATCCAGTTGTATCAAAACCCACTTTATACTCCTGCTGAGATCAGTGGTCATCGTGTGATTTTTCCTCAGCATGCATTAGCTCAGCTTCAATTTTGGACAGCTTACTACATAAGATGGCATCCACTTATGCGTTTACAAGAGCCCATAGCACGTCGAGAGAGAGCCTTAATATTGATAATGAAACGATTCAGGGAACTTACAGCTGCCACGCAACGTGAATGTGCTAAAACAACTCCCAATAATGTATCTGATAACTCAACACACAGTAGGTCCCATTCAAATAGTTCAAAGATCTAAAAATATACCCTTCAGCAAATAGCTGATAAATAATTTCTTAATTCGCCAACTCCTAAGACGCAAACAACCAAAATGTGATATTATCTTTAATCTCTTTTTACATAATTTAAAATTGATTTTAATTCTTAATACAAAACTGCTACTAGAGTAACTTATTTTTTGGTATTTGGTCATCCCAAAAAAATGTGCTACACCGGGCAGCTGGATTGTTTGAAGCGCCTTGAGGGCGTGCACAAACCCAAAACCGCCTGCCGAGTCGACTACCTTTAGTTGTTTTTAAATTTTTCACAGTCCTCATGACGCAAGGTTCTTTGTGGCCAAGGCATACAGGAGGTTTCTTCGGCCCTGAAAAAAGATTTCGCCATGCTTCAGTTGACTGAGCTGTTTGAGATGGGTCGTAAGTTTTTCTTTGGAGAGTTTCAGTCGTATTTTCTTTACTTGAAAATTGATCATGTATACATGTAGCCGTCTCGATTGGTATAGACTCTGATAAAAAACAGCGTATGAATTGGCTGATAATACAGCAGTTTTCTCATTAAATTATCAAAATTGTTTTAAATAATGTTGGATTCAGTTATCAAGTGTATTTAAAGATATCTACGGTTACTCTTTATCTGTGCAACTCAAATAGTAGGGAAATGGAGAAATTACTATGTTTGATAGAAAATAACTACTTAGATCCCTCAAAAATAAGATTCTCCGTCATAGGCATATAACAATCACAAAAATGAATCAAGGACATTATCTGATTTTCACCTGAGAACTTAATAAACAGTGTTTAGACTAACTTACCCCTAAAGGTGATTTTCGTTTGCCTGAAAGCGAGACGTTTCTCTTTGGAATGCGAATTTCTTACACAGGATACGGAAGCTTGTGTGTCATGAGAAGTAAAAGCTTGTTTAGTTACTTTGGAATGACTCTTTGACATTACGAAGCTCACTAAGTCCATTTGCTTTCTCTGACATTGGGGCCAGTAATGAGAGCATTTAGGTGGAAATGAATAGGAGAAAATAAAATCTGAATTGTAAAAATATGGTAGATCTGCATATATTGGGCAATGATCAGATCCATTTATATGTGACATCAAGTCTGCTTGTATATTGCTATCTGATAAGGTGGTGATAATCTCCACAAGTTTCATGTCGAATAAAATATAATCCAGTCTGACTCCATAATTTGTTTGACGAGCATTCGTACGCGACGACCAACATGTAAAAGCATTTTCTCGATGAGGATGGAGTAGCCTAAGTCATAATCACATAAAGTGAAGAAATTAGACAATATGTTAAGTCCAAAGTGACTACTATGGATTAAAACGCCATCCAACTTAATTAAACTACATTACTAAAAAGTACGAACGATTCGCATTTTTACTCGATATTTTGGAAGTCATTCATGAGCTCTCAAAAGACTAAAATATTTGTTACTAGAACGCTTCTAAAACTCCTAGAAATCACTTATTTAAACGACACAGCTTATATTTAAAATCGCACAACAACTAGTAATTTATTTGAGTGGTACTATTGAGTCCAAAGGTTTTGGGGACTACACAGACACTAATTAGGGCGATTTCAGACACATGTATTTACTTGGAACAACCTTACTCATCATATGCAATGATGATTTTCACAAAACACTCCAGTTTGCTGAATTACTTTATGTTTTTAGTGTTTATAGAGCTACTAACTCGTCTGGTTTCGGTAGGTTGCCTTAAAAGAGAAATCTTTCGGGAGTACCTATGGACTAACCACTTATTCATAGATTTTTATTTCGGTATACCATATATAACACAACAAATAACGAAGTAGCCATCCCAATTATTCACTTTACAATCAATATAAAACTAGTCGATATTTTATCGTAGTTATAATCTCTGTAAGAAAGCACACGCTAAAACGAGAGGCCATCACCACTTTCATGTAATTTATGGAAGAATGACTTACTCTATCTAGAGTAATCTGCTTTCAGGAATAAAAGAGAGGCCGATTGATGGATGCTTATTCATATTAGTTTGAGTTTGTTTATATGGTGTGAGCTTGAAAATATTTATGCAAGAAATGTTTCTGGAAAAATATAGTATACTAATTTTCTGGATTCTAAATCCTACTTCTTATCAGTGATTTCCCATTCCCAGCCAATACCATTCTCGTTAGGCGTATATCTACCCATCTTTTCCTTTGCTGTTTCGAGTCATGCCAGTTTCAAATTATACATTTTCGGGTAAGGTTTTATACTAGTGTCTTTCTACTGTATGCGTCTAATTTCCTATGAGTATAAGTGTAGATTGGAATTAACTGGTCATTTCTTACAAAAGTAACCACTTTGAACGTAATAGCATAGTAATAATAATTCGAAATTTACTTTTGAAAAACCTGGTAATTACCTGAAGATATCCACGAATCTTCTTAAGCCAACACTGATTTGAGTATTAAGACTTAGATCTTTCTGTTCTTCAATCAACAACCGATCAAACCACTGGCGAAAAGATTTTGAAGACTCATCCATCTGAATACGCGAAACAAAATTTACATAACTTTTTCAAATAACTCAAACTTATGTGCCAATTGTATCTAGAGTATTTGGAACAAAGCCTTAACTAACAAGGTAGTTCTAACGTTGACATACACTTAGCTATTATTATGGTCATAAAATAACGATTGAAATCTGGGGCTCTTCATTCAAAAGATCTACTTAATAATTAATGTGTATTTAAATCCGCTGTTTGTTATGATGGGATGACTTTGTTTCAAGACAGTTTTAGGTGTGTTGAAAGTTGTCAGTTATGGAAGCTTAATGGTATTTTAGTGCACAATTGCTAGTCATGTAGACATATTTAAACTTTAGTCGTACCATTTAAGGGTTATAAGATACATTACGTTTAGCTTGTTTCATGAGTTTCACACCAATCACACACAATTCAAATTTAATCGAAGTCTGGTTTCCCTGCCAGTAAATGTATTTATCACTTTATATATAGGTTGAGGAGACTAATTTCTACAACTAAAGACGGGTTTTGGGTGGAATTTCCGTGCATATGGTTAAAAGTCTCTTTGAGGGATTCATACTTTTTTTCATTACGGTGGCATCTTACTACTTAGCTAAGATAGTGTATGAATACTGAAGCATCTGACAAATTAAAAAGCATAAGATTTCAAGTGTGCTCTGACTTTTTCTATCAAACATAAGCGATCTCATGCATGTTCGGCAGAACTTACAGTTATGTTCAGTTACTCCCCAATTTTCTGCTTATGACTAATCTGTTGGAATTCGTCCACTTTGTCTTCCATTACTTTTTATTAGAGCCATGATGAAAAACTAATTGAAAAGAAATTTCTTCGCTCAATTCGTTCCTACTTTTATTTTTATCCGCTATTTCTATTTGTTCGATACATATTGAGCTTAATTATTATTGTTTTGATAAAGTTGGGTTTGAGATCTTGAGTAGTATTACTAACTTTAACACAAACATGCCTTAAGACAAAATAGAAGTACTTGGCACATAAATTAAATGTTCGTAATTACGATTATCACACTTAGCTGACTTACCATAAATTCGTCTGGAGCACAATGATCGATCATTTTGTGACAAATATTAAAGTCCCCAGCAATAACTACGTTGCTGAAATATTACAGACCGAATAAACGAATAGCCTACTTTTCTACTAGAAGTGATTCAATGCAAAGTTGTACAGCAGACTGGAAAAGATGTTTGTAATTCAAACGTTCAACGTTTTCTGGATTTAACCTGGGAAAATATATGGACAACACAATCAGCGGCCGTTTTTCGTCTGGAATTCGAAAGGGGGTAAATATATCAGTAGAAAACTGGAGACCCAGTACTCTTCCTTCTGCATCCAAGTTACGAGCTTCAGTATGAGTGATATTTAGTTTCGTTTTGAGAAAACTCCATCCATCCGTTGGATTATTGCGGCAGGAAATGGATTCGACAAGTATATCATTTAAGTTATGGAATGTTTTAGTTGGCTTGAGAGGATTACGACAAAAAACCGCAGTACCTATCGTGTTGATTAAGCAACGACAAACATACCTGAATATCCTGTCTTGTGTATACTATGACTAAAATAACCATTGTAATTATCCGCAAGTGCGAATTCCCTACTTATATCAGCTTGAATTTCAAAGCAACAACCAATAACATAAACATACGTGTGGTTTTAGTCTCCTGAATACAAATTATATCAGATTTAAGAGAATCTAAAGTAGTTTTCAAAGGACGTTGAATAGAGCGCAACCCATTTATATTCCATGAACAGATGCGAACAGGATTCATACGAAAATAGATGTACCTGGAAAAAGGTGTGTATCATCACTAAATAGAACATATGAATCCGCGCTTTTCTTTTAGCAAAGCACATGACTTATCAAATGTTTTATTTAGTACACTAAAATCGGTAATGCTGAAACTATACATTGTGAGAATCTCTGAGCACCCAGTCTACCTATTTCGCGGAAAATGTCCGTTTATGGTACACTTTAGGTAACCCACAATATAAAACTTTAGGGGAATGGCACAAAACCACCAAAAGTTTCACAGGTCTGGGGAGAATCCCCAAAGTTTTGGGTTTTCCTCAATACTTCCTTAAGATCTTATAATGTGCTGGGGAAAACCTCGAAGTTAGGCGCGAAATCATATTGCCAATACAATGAATGGTTAAATATACATTTTTGTATGTGAACACATCCGTTTAAAATAGGTTAGATACCGAGGGTTTGGTATCTATTATATGTTGAGCAACTTGACGATACTAGATATTTAATCAATCAATCGCAGCGTATGCATATTTCAATTGTTGAGATTATGAGTCAATTGAAGCTAGACCACCATGGAAAACCTGGAAGCACTGTATAAATATTTGTATATTTTGCCATACCTCGTCAGCACAGAAGGATGAAATTGTTAAATCAAATCCCAGAATAATAAAGATAGTAACATTAGATTCAAGCAACGGTCCGATGTCATTGTCCATTAATAGAGGTCGCTGAGCTCTTGAAGGTCAAACCGTCGTATAACCATTAGTGCATCACCGACAATTTGTAAGTTTTTACAGAAGAGGTCAAATCAAAATGCTTCAGTCTTCAGTAGTAAGGATAGTAGGTTGGTGAACCTGTATTAAACTTGACACATTGCTTTCCAATGAAGGTTCAGCTTCTCCTTGAAAATGTTCACTGATGGGGCTGATGCCACTTGTTCGGGTAAGGCGTCCCAGTCATTGGCAACTCCATGAGAAAAATGGGATTCCAAATTAAGTTTATTAGATCACGGTTTGTGAACCTTCTTGCTATGACCTCGGAGATTATTAGTGCTGGAGGGAGCAAAAGGATAAGAAATCATACGCGCTCGTTTCAAAAAGGGCGGTGATTCTTGTACTTGTTGTGATTATACTTGCTTTGGGTACTTATTGCACCAAAAAGCACTCTTGGTCTTCTTTAACTAAAAGTACTTTGGTTAAAGTTTGAAATTTCTTCTGTTAAATTTTGTCGTAGGTACCATTTTTTACTCCTAGACTAACACTTGTGTTCACATTGTGATCATTGTGTGTTTTTAAACCTTTTAAATCTAATTACAATGGCTGTTAAGACTCATAAATGTGGGCAACCAAATTGTTTGTTCCCTGTTGAGTGGGGATGCGGTGTGATGACTGTAAAAAGTGGTACCACAAAATGTGTACACGCCTAAGTCCGATGGCATACAAAAGATGCTCGAAGCCTAACTCGCATTGGCTTTGTATGTTCTGCTGTACGGATAAAAAGGTACTAATTCAGGAGGCTATGGGCCTATTGGCTTTGGCCTGCAAGAAAAACGATGACATGTGCTGACAACACATTGGATGCTGACCATATGTTTTAGTGGACTCATCTAGCTGAAGGCGCTCGGTCAGGCATCCGCACCAGATCACGTGTGGTAACGCTGTGCTCAACACCTACCGCAATCGCTAGCCAGATTAGATCAGAGAATTCCGATATATTGGTCATCGCCAAATGTACTCTTCCGATCTCCTCGACACTGTCTTTTGATTTCTCTGGGTGGGTACAAATCATATTAGGTGTTACTGGTAGAAGCGTTGTCAAACACTGAATACCTGTGACATCATCAGCACTAACGATTGTGTCAGTGTAGTACCTGCTGTTACGCGACGCCTCAATCAACCGACTCTGACTGACGCAAAAAAGAGATCGCCGTTAACTATAACAAGGGGAGTAATATCACCTGGTACTGACGTTGATAACAATGAGAACCGACGAACTGGATAAAACCATCACCATTCCAAATAGTCCCAATGTCCTGAGGGATGAAAAATGGACTGCGATACGTAGGAAACGAAACGAAAAGAAAAAAGCTGTAGGCAGTACACAGGTAGTTAGTAACTCACTGATAGACTCTCATTGTGAGTCACATACTGCACTACCAAAATCCGATGGTAAGAGTGAAACCCATCCTGGAGTGACTGAGAAGAAAAATCAAATAACAGCTAAAACTGATGACTGTTTACTTGATAAGACCTTGGTGAACTCTCAGACCAATCCACCAAAGCTCCAAAGTAAAGCTTCGTCTAATACTGTTGTGAGTCACTAACACGACTCTGTTACAATAAAAGCTAATCGTAAGATACCAGTAGTTAATATACAGGATCTGACGTCACGGTCGAAAGCTGTTAACACAATTTCAAAGGAAGCTAAACCCCTTCCTAGTTTAATTATTTGGAATCTAGAGGAGTCGAAAGATAACGACCTTGCTGGAAGACATACACATGACCTGCAGTTAGTGCAATCTGTGGTAAGAAATGTGCTACCTGAAGAGGTTTCAGGGGTACATATTACAAAAGTAATACGACTTGGTAAATGGGTTGGAGGCGAGACCCAACCAAGAAGAATCCTGAAGCTGGTTCTCGGGAGTTTCGAAGAAAGAGACATATTATTGAAAAACGCACCAAAAACTCGTGCCTCAAATATCCGTATTAGACCAGATTGGCCGCTTTAGGATCGAATAAAGTGGAAGAATGCGCTTATGGAGTTGAGTACTCGCAAATTAAATGGCGAAAATAACCTTACCATTAAGGGTTTTCGGGTAGTCAGGTCTTGGAAGCCAATGCTTTCGAGGCCTGTACGGGTAGAACGATTGATTTCCAAAACACCTTAAGTGTGTGCTACACGAACGCTCGTAGTCTTAGAAATGAAACGTCCGAGCTAATTCTGATAGTGGAAGAATTATGTCCCGATATAATTGTTGTTACGGAAACTTGGTTCACCGTAGACATAGACTGTTCTCCTTTCATTGCAGGCTATATCTGTATTAGAAGTGATAGAGTTTCAAGTCGCAAAGGGGGAGGTATAATATTATACGTTAGAGATCACTTTTGTTTACAACCAACAATATTGGAGGCCCATATCAGTGGCACATGTGAGGTTGCATGTTGTAAGATTAAATCTAGAAGTGGGTTAGTGACTATAGGGGGGAATATACCATAGTCCGTCTTTTCTTGCTGACGATTTTATTCTAAGACACATCTGTTCTTGGAGTATGGCAGAATGTTGTTTCATCATTGGGGACTTCGACGCACCGCATATCAACTGGATAGAGCTTACAGCTTCAGGTAGTGGTTTCGATAGCGACGTTTTATCTACCGTTATTCAGTGTGCACTTGTACAATGTATCACAAAACCGACACATATTGATTTGCAACATGATCCGTCACTGCTGGACCTCGCCCTCACCCACCACTGTGAGGATGTCTTTGATATCCAGCACCTTCCCCCACTAGTGAACAGTGATCAAGTTGTATTTCACTTTAAGTTTAGGACACACGGTATACGATTTGTATCTGCTCCACCCCGTCCCAATATCTGGCGAGCTAATATTCCGGAAATCAGAAACTGTGCTATCTCGACTAATTGGTCGGTCGACGCGGATGGATTGATCGAAGATGAATGGAATAAGTTTAAGGATACATTCGAGTACGTAACGTCGCCGTTTATCCCATGGTCAGCACTTAAGCTATCACATTGCCCTCCATGGATTAATAAGGAAACCCGGAAGCTGTTAAAGCGTAGGAAACACTTCCGGGACTTATTCTTGTTGACAGGTCATGCACCATTTAAGCGTGAGTACCGAAAATTCCGTAACATCTGTAAGAAAACCATAGCGAAATCCCGTACCACTTACGAACGACAGTTAGTATATGATAGCCGTACTTGTTCGAAACGATTGTTTTCGTATGCTAAACGGCAGACGAAACGTAGTGATGGTATTTCACTGTTACTGTTACACGAAAATTCAGATATACTAGCTGAATCAGATCGAGCAAAAGCTGAGACTTTTTCAAACTATTTTAGAGAAGTATTTTCTACGTTTATTGTAACATACTTGTCCCACTCACACCGAGATACCAACCATGGAATCTGTACAGGTGACTGAGGAAACTGTCCTTCTGTTGATAACTAACCTCAAACCTGGTAAGATACCGGGCCCTGACGGGTTACATCCACGGTCGCTGTCATCTCTTGTGGACATTATTTCAAAACCGCTTGCGACACTCCCTTCCACTCGCTCAACTCCCTAGAGATTGGAAGGACGCCGTAGTCAGTCCTATATTCAAGGACGGTCAGAGACATATGGTATCTAATTACCGGCCTGTTAGTCTAACTAACATAGTCGTTAAGTTACTTGAAAAGTTAATTCGGGTTAGGTTGCTAAGCCACATAGATTTACACAATCTGTTGGCTCCTGAGCAACACGGATTTCGTAACAAGCGTTCATGCTTGACTAACTTGCTTATTGCGAGGGAGGATTGGACAGCAGCCTTAGATAACGGTCTGCCGGTCGATGTGATATTCATAGATTTTAGCAAAGTACTTGACAAGGTTTCACACGTAGGTCTTATGCAGAAGCTCACGAGCTTCGGAATAATAGGTGCTGTACATGAGTGGATAGGAAATTTTCTATGTGACCGCAAACAGAGAGTGAGGGTCAACGGAACACTTTCCGATTGGAAGCCGGCCAAAAGTAGTGTACCCCAAGGCACCATCTTAGGCCCTCTGCTCTTCCTTCTCTACGTTAATGAGTTTCCGCTGTTACTTAGGTCGTCGACATTATTGTTTGCGGATGATGGAAAAATCTGGAGAACAATAAAAAGTGCGGCTGATCATCTGGATCTTCAAGCTGACTTAGACGATTTAGTCAGATGGGCTCAAGAGTGGGGCTTAGAAATCAATGCTGGGAAGAGTGTGCTGATGAACATCGGTCACGGTAGTAGGTACCGTTATACTATTGAGGGTAAACCTCTTCCATGCATTCAAGAGCATAAAGACTTAGAAGTAGTATTAGGTCATGATTTGAAAACAACTACGCATTGCAAAGCAGCCGCTTTCAAAGGTTTTCGTGCGTTATGGTCACTTCGCCGAGCGTTCAAATCTTTTGACGAGGAAACGGTTCGAAGTTTATATCCCATATATGTAAGACCACATTTAGAGTACTGTATCCAAGCATCTAGCCCATGTCTGATAAAGGACATTAACTTACTTGAGCGTGTCCAGCCTGTGGGAACGAAATTAGTGAAGGGTCTTTCTAGACTCCCTTACGATGAGCTTTTCAAACGATTAAACCTTTTCCCCTTGTCGTATCGTAGGACACGAGGTGACATTTCGTATCTTTAATTATGATTTGGGTGTTAATATTTCTTATCCTTTTGCTCCCTCCAGCACTAATAATCTCCGAGGTCATAGCAAGAAGGTTCACAAACCGTGATCTAATAAACTTAATTTGGAATCCCATTTTTCTCATAGAGTTGCCAATGACTGAGACGCTTTACCCGAACAAGTGGCATCAGCCCCATCAGTGAACATTTTCAAGGAGAAGCTGAACCTTCATTGGAAAGCAATGTGTCAAGTTTAATACAGGTTCACCAACCTACTATCCTTATTACTGAAGACTGAAGTCTGAACCGTATGTTTTCCGCGTAAATCCACATTTAACCATTTAACTTTTTTCCAGGCCCACACATTTATTTTCGCCCTTATTTCCTTCACAAATCACATGACGTCTGCTTTCGACTACATATTAAAAAAATGACACATGGTTAGGGTGATCTGTTTACATGAAATAACATAGTTCACAATGAGATTAATGACAAACAGGTCGTCGCCTATTATTTTTATTGTAAGTGGAAATTTCCGCAGACATCTATGAAAATCTGAGACGATTGTTCATAGAACAAGGAACTACATAATGGTCGTGGTTCTCTTTTCTATGGACAGCATGTCAAGTTCCTCGGAGAGTGGATATCTGCTGAGGTTCACCAATATATACCACTCTATTATGCCCTTAGTGAACCTCGGGCTGTGATTCCCACTCGT